CCTTAATCCAAAAGAAAACAAAAAATGATTATGGCAAAAAACATGAAAAAACTGAAACATATGGAAAGCCTCAAATAAGACAGTAGAATGGAAAACACCCATATCAGGTGTCACAACCAACATAACTTGATTAAATTATACACTTAAAAAGACTAATATTGTGAGTCTGAGGTTTTAAAATCAGACTGCATGCCACTTATAAGAAATTCTTAATATTTCAAGATCGAGCAAATTTACAAAGGTAGTTCAAAATACATGAATGTAAAAAGTACAGGATGTAAGTAACAGCCATGAACCAGTGGCCATGAAGAACCATACAAATTAAATGTGGAAAACAAGTATCCTTTTCAAGCACACATGGAACATTTTTAAATGATCAAATATCAGGCCATAAAAAGTCCATAAATTTCAAACCATCTGAATAACAATATTCACTGACCATAAAACAAAATTTAGAAGTCAATAACAAAAAAGATATATTAAATCTCATGTTTATCTTTATTCATAAAATTTCTAAAGTTTAGAAGTTAAGTTTAAAAAACACGTAGAACTAAATATTATAGAGAGTTGTAATAACTTTTTAGGTTCTGAAAAATATAGCCTTTCCAAAACTATTGATAGATTGCTACTCTTCATTTTAAGCTGCTTCTTTTAGATTTAATAAAACTAATACACTGAAGTCCTTGGTTTAGTAGCATAAAAACAAAATTTAAATGTTAAGTTTCATCATGAAAAAGTAGCACTTTTTTCCACCACTAGACAATGAAGAAGATGTAAGAACATCAACTCTGGAGAAAACTGTGGGTGAAGGGAACTCAGAACAAACCAGAGTGCCTGAATGATCAGAAGCAAAAGGTGAATGGGTTAAGAACTAAGAGCAAGGAAGGACAGAGCCCAACAATGCGCTATCATCACAGAAAAGGAAAAGCATTTTTCTCTTAATGGTGGAACAAAAGCTCAGAATGGTGATACCAAAAATACTAGTTGATTTCATGTGACTTTGAAATCCGATTATTGATGTTACATATAAACAATGTTGTATCAAACCTACATAGATGAAAAGACTAGAAGGAGAAAATTTAGTAAGGAACCAAAAATAAATAAATAAGTAGAAGATAGAAGAAAAGGAAGAAATGTTATCAAAGTGGTTATAAAATACACAGAAAGATAGAAACATGTATGGCTTTGTGTTATTCCCAATTTGAACATAAAGGAGATACAAAATTTACTTTTCTTAATTCTTTAATAGGAAATAAAATACTCAACTGAAACTTAAGTTACTATTTAGCTTTTTAATATTAAAAACTCTGCACAAGAGCCTTGATTAATTATAAAATATCTTTCTTTTTCATTAAGTTTTGTAAAATTTCCTCTGATTTTTCTTTGTCTATGCAAATATATTTAACATTTAATTACTCTCATGACTTTCCTGGCATTCTTATTCTCTTTACCATAGCGTGTTTCTGAATAAAAGATTTCCTTTATTCTTTGTGTGATTTCTCTGTAGAATAGAGGAGAGTAGAAAAGGGACAGTAAAAATCGGGTTCCACATCTTTTGTCCCATTTTATCCATTTTATGCTGCTCTCAATTTTGAAAACCAGCCTATGTATTCAACATGAATGGCAATATGAAACCTAAAATGATTTAGCATCACTTCAGCACTTTATTAAAGCAAAATTATTATTGACTAGACTACAGCAATTAGGTTCAATTTTGTCAAAGGACACAGTCATATATAAAAGTTACATTATGGATGACTTAGAAATTGTTTATAGGCCTACCTTCTGGTTTCATTCATGTACCTTGTAGAAACATGTCATATGTGAACACCTTTCCACACAACATGTTCATATTTTTTCCATTTGGTACATCTAAGTTACTCTGAAAAATCAGAGTCTAAAACTTAAAATGTGGGAAGATGACAGCTAATCATTGTCTTCAACATAGTACTATATTGAATAGAAAGTGTAAATTTTTCTCCTATCAAATATGAAAAGGAATATAATTTGATGGTATAGCAAAATATTCCTTCTGTAGCCATCCCAACATGCTCATCATAAAAGCAAAACTAAAACAGCAAAGAGGTATTTCTTCAAAGTTTTTACATAATTGTGACACCAGTTAAACTGTATAAAGAATCACCCAAAATTTTGCTATAAGTCTTCAGTGTTCTGCCTCAGGGGGAAAAAGCAGCATACAATTACTCTTACAATTTTTCAATTATAACTTTTTTCATTCAAACAAACCTTAGTGTACTTGAAAAATACTAAAAGAAAGAGGCAGAGTAGAGAGAGAGAAGAAAATCAATGTAACTTTAGAGCACAAAATAAAAACATGTTGTTACAAACGAGTATGAAAATTGGGGCCAAACATTACACCATGAATTTTCAAAATGTAATGAATAGCCATCATGATTTTTAAGCAATTGTACAGTACAGAAATGCAAGGTGTTAGGCAGAGGGAAGCAAAACAAGATTAAGTGGTAGAAGTGCTCAACCACATGGTATAATGGAAAAAAACAAAAGAACAATAAAAGTGAAAGGGAAATCAGAAGTGATAAAAGAGGAAGTGAGATTACTGAAAACAAGGTAGCAAGAGTTAAAGTGATAATGCAAACCAAGAGAATAAGAAAAGATATTAATAGAGTCAGAAAGAATTAGAGAGATGGTAGAATGTATCACAGGGAACAAAATCATACATGCATATGCATATAAATAACGACAAAGAAAATATTTAGGTAAAAATAAAGGAATTGCTCCCAAAATAAAAGACTTGAAATAACATTTTGGGGAAAAGATAAAAACAGAAAGCATGTCCCTAGGTAAAATAATCCACAGCAGGCAGCACTAAAATAATGTTCTAGTGAAATCACTGGACTTCATTCATAGGTGAAGAATCCTTCAATCAGCCAAGAAAATTAAAATTTTCTGAATTCTGTAATAATAGGAAAAAAGAACAAGAGTAATACTGTCCTCAGTCATAATGAACATCAAGTGTAAGGCAAGAGATAAACGCTTTTGAATGTGCTGGAATTCAGAAATAAATATTTGATATATTGTAAGAACTTTTGTAAATGCCACAATGTACCCCTACCCAGCACAACAATAAAAAAATAAGAGTCTGTTAGAAGTGAGCTTTGGTCAAATGAGATGTTATGATAATAAAGGAAATCGCCAACGGTGTAAGTCCCATTAAAAGCAAATCCCCAAGCCCCAGTGGAGCCTTCAGATGTTTGCAGGTCTCCACAGCTGACAGCAACCTCCTGTTATACCCTGTATAACATGAGGTTCCGATCCAGTGATCCAGAACCTCCCAGCTAAGCCTTTCCCTGATTCCTGAACCACACAAACTATGATATCATCCTTATTTATTGTTTTAAATTGCTATGTGTTAGAGAAACTGGTTGTGCAATAATAAATAACTAAAACAGGGCTCAAAAAGTATTGGATCTGAAAAGGTTATAATACTGGAAAATAAGAAGATTTTTTTTTTAAAGGAGTTGTTTTCCCACAGAGGAAAAGTGATAGCTATTACTTTTTTTTTTTTTTTTTTGTGGAAGGGCTTCCACAAACCATTTGTATTGGTGTGTGTTTCCTCTGATCATAGAACTCCAAAATTTGTGCGGAGCTCATGTTGGGAATAATGAAAGCACCGAACTCTGGCTGCATTGCTGTTCTGAGGGCAGGATGGTGGTTGATAAGATGAGAATGGCTTTATGTGGCCAGACAAAAGATAAACACGGTTTTACAGACAGATACAGGCCAAGTGGCAGAAACATCGAGCCAGAACTATCTCAGAGTGATCTAACCACGGAAAACTTAGGAGGAAGCCATAAGCCCAACAGTATGAGTTTATGTAGGTTGGGTACATGAAGAAGAGTCAATATTGATCACATTAATGAACTGCAGGAGAGGCACTCCCAGTGAGTGAGGGGATCGCCAAAAAACCTAGATACATACTCAAATGCTCCAAGAAAATGGACCAATTTTATTTTTTTTTATTTTAATTAGTTAGTTAGTTAGCTAGATAGTTAGTTAGGCAATACTGAGGATTGAATTCAGGGCCTCACACTTCCTAGGCAAGTATTCTACCACTTGAGTCACTCTCCAGTCCTTTTGCTTTTGTCTGTTTTACCACATATGGTTTTGTACTTTTGTCTGGGCTGAACTTGGACTTTGATCCTCCTATCTCTTCCCCTCAAGTAAGGATTACAGGCATAAGCCAACATGCTTGCCCAAGGAAAAACTTTTAATACCTGATATGGCTAATATAAGGTAAGAGCTGTACCTTTTCCCTACAGGGGATGAAAGACTGGAAGATTGGAAGTTGAAGGCTCCCAGCCTTCAACTGGGAATGGGTAGGTTGAAAAAACCAGGGAAATAGTTGACCACAGCATCCCCTCAACACCTGGAACAGAACTGTAGAAGGGAGAACTTTAACATTGTAAGGTTCACTTTTGACTATTACAAGAGATGTAATTATGTCTAAGACCTTGTGTTTTGCTCTTTATATAGTAGTCTAAAATAAATAAAAATGACATTTCATTCTATAATAACAGATACTATGCAATTATCAGCACAACAGAAACTCTTTAACTCCAACCCAGACCTTCAAACGGTGAACTGCTACTGACTGGTAACAATATATGGTAAATAATATTAATTCAAGTCTCACCACTTACAGAAGAAACCAGCTTCCAGAAACAAACTGGCACGTAGCATAGCATAACATACTTGTTCTGCCATGGTCTCATCCAAGCTGTCCTAATAGATATATTTATAATCCATTTTTAGAACAGTTGATAAGCATTGATTGGAACAAAGCTAAAAATTAAGACCTTTAATGCATTTTGTGGAAAATACAATGTAAAACTAAATAAAGTTAATATCCATATTCTACTTGTATCCTAATATCTGATGTTTATTGGTTTAAAAACACTTTAAAACTTTAAGCTTAAAAAAATAAGCAAATAAAAACAAAGAGAATCTGTCAACACTACCTCTGAATATGACTCGCTTGATTACAGAGATGTAGTCTTCGGGCTCCTGCTTGGTTGAGATCTCCCATCTGCTCACAGGGATGCTTAATAATTTATAGAGCTGATCCGAACTTCTCATTCCACAAAGTAGAGTGACTACAGTTTCTGGTGGGTGAAGTATTTTTTCCAGAAACTGACATTTCTTTGGAGTTAGATCCTTAAGCAGGTTATTCGATAATATCAAAAGTTTACATTTGTAAGAGTTCAAGCTTAGCAATTCCAAATGTCTAAGAGAGAAATTCTCCAAGCGATATAACAGGATGGTTTCTCTTTTCACAATATGCAAAAATATTTCCCTCAAGTACAGGGCCCATTCCTCAGCGTCTTCTTCATACATCACTATGATATCTTTTGTCATCCCTAGAAGAGAAAATAATGCATTATTTTTCTTTTATTTGAAATGCTAACAGCAATACAATAATTTTCTTATACCAGAGGTGAATGAGAGAATTTATATTATCCCATCATAAGTGTATAGGACTACAGATACCATAAGGATGCAACACAGTTCATGCTCTATCTCCTCTGTACTCAACGTACAGCATAAATCTCAGATGGTCAGCAGAGATAAGTGAGAGGCCTTGTGGAAAAATGGACACTATCCTGTTGGGTTAAGGGTGCTGGTGCCCAAGCATGGTTCTCCAGTGACTACAAATTTTACTTTAATTATTATTGTATTTCACTCATTTGAGCCACTGTGTTCTAAACAAATGTTTAAAAACAAATAAGTCTTGTCGAAAGACGAAACAGAGAAAAAAATTAAAGAACTTCAACTTATTTCTTCCAGGTATAGATGGGTACATACATCCCCAATTGGGGACTTTCCATCCCCAATTAACCAACAAAATAAAAATATACTTTAAAAAGAAAGAAATTCAATACCAGAAATGAACTAAAGGTGGTAATCTCATGGCAGACACTAAAAAGTTGATATCAATGAAATAAATGGGAAGTTCTGGTAGAACTGCACTAATCCTAAACCTAAGTCCCACTCTAGAATCAAGACTGATGAAGAACTGGAGTCAGCCCACTCTCAATGTCCTCATGCATTTCTTTCTTATCTGATAGCTGGTCACAGGTGTCTGCAGAAGCAGGAAAGGGTGTCACCACTCTCTACAAGCTGGGCTCATAGCTGAGTCAGTAAAATCAACCAACTCGCACATACTCAACCCTACCCATGAGAAGGAAGGGAACTTGTAGAAGACATTTTAGAGGGTCTGAATTGCCACTACCACCCAGGACCTCCAGTGAGAACAGGACACAAACAAATTTTCCTTCTCCTCCCTCTGACCACAAAAGGCAGACTGGAGTTTAGAGTCTGTTTTTCAAACAGTAGCTTGGGGGGAAAATTTAAAAATAAACTAAGATAAGGAAGGAAATTTAAAGGAAAATTTATCTGCCCATATTAAGCAAATACAAAGTCTAACTTGAGTTAAGAGAAACATGACCAATGTGAAAAACTAGCAGTAGAAATTAGTAATTATGGAAAGAGACTAAATAAATAATAACAATCTTAATATTAACAATAAAAATTATGGTCATCATAATAAAAGTAACTTAGCAGGAATTAAGTAGGGGAAAAATCTATGGCAGTCCTTCATAGTATTAAAAAGACTATAAATAAAACAATAAAACACAAGTTGATTTAATTTTAAAAATAATATGAAAGAGTATAATAAATAGGAGATAAGTTGAAAGCTGAAACAATACAATTACCTAGATAAAATTTTAAAGTAATGAGTAGATTCAATATAGATACTATTTTAATTTCTGGCCTAAAACAAAGCTTAATGTTTCTTAAAGCAAATGCAAAAATAAATAAATAAGGTAAAAGCAACTTGGTAAAATATACTTGGATAAGAGTCAGAAAAGGAAAGGATTAAATATAGCAATAATATAAAAGCTTAGAGTAGAAGAAAACAAAAGATACACTAAAAAATTTTATAATTTTTATAAAATACAAAAATTTAATATATAAAATTATATAAATATAAAATTATAAAATATAAAATATTTTATAATCAATATCTGACAGCAGGATTTCTGAATGAAAGCAGGCATGAGAGAACCTCTTGAAACTCTGGAAATGTTCTCTTTCTTGATCTGGTAGGAGGTCACATAAATGTATACATATACAGAAGTTAATCCACTCATATTTCTCAGGTTATGTGGATAAACAAACTGTAATCAGCAGGTATATTAGACAAAAGTAGAAGAAGACAGTCTCAGACAGTAGCTTTTCAAGAGTCTAGACACCAATTGGGTTTTATAGCAGGTGGATGGGGCATTTTTGGAAAAAGATTCATAGGAAATACAGTGATTATAATATTATCACACATATTTGAAAGTTTGAGAAAAGATGGTAATAATATAAGTTTGTTAAGATAGGATTTTTAAGTTAAAATAGGTACAATGCAATATTGTGCACATAAAAATTTTAAATGAAGTAAACATTAATTCCTGAAAAGCAAAAGAAAGGAAAGTGAAATAATACACCATTGGATCAATCTTATAAATATACATATAATGTAATCATGTAAAAACTAATTAATCATTTAACTGCAAGTTAGAATTAAAATATCCTAGAGACTAAAAGAAGAGTCAGATGAACTAAGAGATGTAATCCTTATTTAACATTACAATGGATAGAAGCCAACAGATAATAGCTAAAATTAACAAATCCAGAAATACCAATACTTATCATTACACAATATGTACAGGTAACCAATATAGCACATGGTAACTTATAAACATATACAATGTTTATCTTTTTGTGCATTAGTTAAAATAAATTTAAAAATGGGAAATAAATAGCTTGAATATGTGATAGAACAAAAAAGAAACATTTGAAAGCATTGTAGTTCTTAAAATGATTTGGGGAATGGAAAACTGTTGAGTGCCATTAGAGATGTTTTATCATTGTTCTGTATGAAAATATAACTTTAATAAAAATTTAAATAACAGAAAAAAATTCCAACCAGAAAATAGCAGGACCAAAGTAAAGTAAATGAAAATGTAAAAGCTTTGGAAAAGAACAGAGGGTAACTTGAAAGGATGTCTGTGCAGAACTCAGACTACATAATGACAGCATTATGACTGCATTACAAAACACAATGCAGAATGGCTGGGGGTATAGCTCAGTGGTAGAACACTTGCCTGGTATGCCCAAGGCTCTGGGGTATAGCCTCAACACTGCCAAAAAAATTCAAAATAAAAACTACTAACAAAATAAAAATCATTGTAGAACGGGGAAACCAAGCATTTGGGGATGGAGAAAGTAAATACTTGCTTCATTTTGTATAGAACTGAGACCTTCAATACTGCCTGCATTTGAAATGAGAATTTCAAAGTTACTTCCTTCTGTCAATATTTTTGTACTATCATTCATTTCACCCTAAACAATAATAAATAGGCTAAAAAGTACTGGGTAAAAAAAATTATCTGAAAATTAGTGCCCCTTCAATTTTATTCAATGTATACTGTCAAATTGAAAAACAGCATACAGAGTATGATCTCATTTTTATTTAAACAATCATTTCCTGACTATCTAAAATAATTTCATGAATTACTAGCAAGTCATTTGTGAGAGACGATTTTAAGCAAAGTATGGTTTTGGTTTTCTCACTCTTCCATAATGCTTACATTTTTATTATAAACTTCTATTATTTTACAAAACAAAATAATCATCTCTCAAAGTCAGTGTGGATGGTATTATGTAAAGCACCAAAACTCTAGCAATCCCCAGGTATCTTTTTGTCCTCCTGATACAGGGAGTGTATTTTCTCCATCACTGATGGGATCTTTGCATTTTTATTCAAATGTTAATTTTACATATTTTTTGTACTTCTGTCTTTTTTCATTATGTAAGTATTATCTCCAAGGGCACATACTTTATTTCCAGTTTATTGATTTCTACTTTACGCCCACCATAAATCTGTAAATAAATATTCAATAAGTTTTTAAGTATATTAATATATACAAAATGAGAAAAAATTCTGGCTGAAAGTATATAAGAATCTCACACAAATTGTGTGTGAATCATCATTGTAGTTCTGTTATTCTGTGTGTAGGGTCTCACCCAGCCTGGCTGCTAAGTATATAAGCACAAATATGATGCCACAATTTAGTACTTTTTTTTTTGAAGAACAGTAAAGGAAAAGTTTTCTTTTTATTATATATTTCAGCATAAGGTGCTCTATAGTTTATAAAAATATTGTAATAAAATAAACTAATATTCAAAATTAATAAGTGTTTAAGCTCTGTGTATTTTATATGCTATTTCTTTTAATTCTCAAGATTGCCTATGAAGTAAGCACTAATGTCATTCTCATTTTACAAATGGGAAAACTGAAGTGATATTAGAATCAGGATTCCAGTGCAGGCAGTTTGCTTGATAACCCATACTTTTAATCTCTAACAGCAAAGGTTATGACAGATTAAAATGGACTCTTTGATCATTAAATGGATCAGATTGGTCAATATTAAGCAGTTTATGGGGTAATCTTAACTATGTGAATGTTTTGTGGGACTCTGGTTACCTGTTTGAGAAAAAGGAAGGAAACAGATGCACTCCATTAATACACACATTATATATTCATCAATATATGTATAATATACATATTAATGATGGACTTCAAGAACACAGTTATCTATGTAGAATTTACTTCTTGAATCTACAATCTAAATCAATAAAATTACAGAATGATTGCTCCCTTCTTATGAGGTCAGGTATCACAAAAGCCTGAGCTACATGGTATCAATTCTAGAAACAAGTATAACCTCCCTCTCACAAAATCCCAAGAAAATTATACAAGTTGTCCTTTTGAATACTCTGGGGCATTTTTTAAACTTATGTTGAAAATTGAGCCTTCTTTTTATATTTGTATTTGATTTAAACTTTGTCAACAACTTCCGTATGCCAGTTTTCAAGAGCCTAAAGATAAGTATTGAATGTCATTCCTTTCTTCTCTATAGATGAAATTTCTTCAGTCTTTGAGTCTTTAACTTTCTCAGTTATGATCTGCCGAGACTTTCCACGTACCAGGCAGGTTGCAAATCAGTTAACGTGTGCTACCTTATTTAATCCTCACAAAACTGAATAGAGTAGGTTTTACCATTCTTTTATGGATGATCACACTGAGCCCTAAGAGGGTTAGGTAACTTGTCAGAGTCACAAAAGGTAATCACTTATCTTTATGTTGCTTTCCACTTTTTTCCACATGAAACCAAGTTGAGTGTAAACACAAAAGGCCCTTTGAATAGTCATGCTATACTTTTTTTCTTTGTTCTAGAGAACAGAACCTTGAATTTGAGTAATATGTAGACTGCAGACCCAATGAAAGTTATCTATGAATTCTTAA